ATCTAAAGCCTGCTCAATTGAGCAAACCCTCAAGGTTAAATTTCACCATTCAATATTTAAAAATATATATTTCAGTTTTGAGAAACTCGTTGAGAATAATAATTATAAATAAGTTATGAGGAAATTGCAATACATAATTTTAAAAATACAACTTTAGTTTCCTTGTATTTTTTTTTTAATTACAAATATACTGTTTTCATTTTTTTACTTTCAAATTTTCGTTTAAAAATTCTAGCTATTGTTCACTGCCGTCGTCCACAACGATCTCATCCTTCCAACAGCACCGCAATGATCTCACGATAGAGATCTTGCTACGACCTCCGCTATTGTGAGATATCCACACTAATCTTCATAATTGTAGCATCACCACTACTGTAACCACCGTATCAGATATTCAGTAGTAATTCGGTTAAAATTTCAAGATTTTGAAATCTTTGTCTCATTTAATTATTTTATAGTTGGTGATTTATTTTTGTTTCTTGTTGGCAACGATGACGGAGATGGTGGTGTAGCGATGGAGGAGGTCAAGGTTTTAAGACTTCTCTTATTTCTTGGTGACAAGGATAGTAGCAGCATAAAATCTAATTGCGGTGGTGGTGGGGGTGGTGTTGTGGAAGTTTGATTACGAGCATGTTTGCGGTCAGTGAGATAGGTTAGGGTTTTGCAGGCGACGAAGGCAAATCGTAGTGGTTTGGTAGTGATGGCAAGTGGTGTGGGGAGGTGGTCTTTGCCTTGGTGTAATATGGTATGTTATAAAAATTACATAAATGTTACACTTTTTCTAATAATAACATCAACATTAGTGTCGACATGGACAACATATCACACTTTGTTAAAAGTGTTACATGCGTCAATGGTGACGATGTAACACGGTTGGTTAAAAGTGTTACGTAAGTATATTGTTGTCGATGGTAGCGAGGATGGTCACGGCAACAATGAGTAAACTTTTGATACAAAAAGATAAACAAGTAATGTACAAAGAATATATATGTTTTTGGGTACAAAAAGAGGTTGGAAAGTATTTTAGGTTATATATGAAACTTCCTTAATAGTTCACATTTTCTAACCTAAAGTCATGGATCGAAGCCCAACCCAATGTAAATGTTGATATCAATTGGATCACTAGTATGTGCCCCATTTTAAGTGGATTTTAAGCCCCCTTTAAATTCCTTAATTGACAATGATTTTTTGCATCTTGATTAAGAGCGAGGCTCCTTGGTCCGTATAATAGAATATCTTTCTCACTCTGAACATGTCGAGCCAACACGTGCCATCTTATATCTTGACCTTCTAACAAAGGAGATAACTCAACTAATTTAGTGGTATCAAAACGAGTCAAACTACCTAAGCCTTGTCCGAAAAATTAAAAAATACGTCAATTACAATTTTTGTTGAAAAAAAAAGTCTTTTTCATTAAAAATTTGTATTTTACATTTATCTCACCTCGTATTTTTTTGAAACATGCCTCATTTTCATTTAAGATCAACTTTTCAATTTATTTATTAAAAATTAATATTTTTACGAGATACATGATACGGTAACATGTATTACTATGTTACTTGTAGAATTTTATTTTAATATTACTTTTTTAATTTAAAAATAACATTTGTAGGTAACATATATGTTACTTATTATTAAAATATGATTTTACATGAGTGACATGTTATGTTACCATGTGTTACTTGGGCTAATTAGCACAAAATGTCCCTACCTTTGGGGTGAATTTCGGAAACCATCCATACTTTTCATTTCTTGGCATTTATGCCTTTACCTTTGGGGTTTTGGTGCGCTGAACATCCCTTTCACTGTTTTTTGACGATTTTACCCTCCATTCAATTTAGACACAAAGAAAAGAAAAGAAAAACAATCCAATAAATTGCAACTATAGACCCAAACTTNCGACCGTCGCACCCAAATAGATCTACACCTCCACGAACGCCGCTCCCGAACAAATCTGCACCTCTACACCTCAACCACCAACCCCTACAAAATCCCCAAATTGTGATGCCGCACCTCGACCACAACCACGAACATCATCACCATCACTCCCTAAAAAATCCCTAAGCAAAGGCACTGCACAGGAAAAACAAAATCAGAAACAAAAGAGTGGTGGCGTCTTGAGTGTCGAGCCACGACATCGGTGGTGGGGTCTTCCGGTGGTGACGTCCCTGAGCAGGACAACGCCACTATTTTTGATAGAGAAGAGACCACCGCACCACAAACACTGTAGCAGGAGGCGAAGAAGAGGTGGTGACGTCTTGAGCATCGAGCCGCAGCACCGGTGGTGGGGTCTTTCGGTGGTGGCGTTGGTGCTTAGGGGCGGCGCCACTGTTGAGAGAGAAGGAGACGACGGGTGAGATAAGGGAGAGAAAAGATATGGAAAATGAATTAGGGTTTGAAATTAAGTTGGATTGATTTAAATAAAAAATAATTAAAAATAATTAATTAAAACCTGATTTATGTATTATTAAAGTTGATTCTGTATTTTTGAAAATGGAAACTTAAAAACATGTGTGGGTGTAATTTCCTCATGATTTTTTGCATCTTGATTAAGACCGAGGCTCCTTGGTTCGTATAATAGAATATCTTCCTCACTCCAAACATGTCGAGCCAACACATGTGCCATTTTATATCGTGACCTTCTAACAAAGGAGATAACTCAACTAATTTAGTGGTATCAAAACGAGTCAAGACTATCTAAGCCTTGTCCGAAAAATTAAAAAAATACGTCAATTACAATTTTTGTTGAAAAAAATGTCTTTTTCATTAAAAATTTGTATTTTACATTTACCTCACCTCGTATTTTTTTGAAACATGCCTCATTTTCATTTAAGATCAATTTTTCAATTTATTTATTAAAAATTAATATTTTTACGAGATACATGATATGGTAACATGTATTATTATGTTACTTGTAGAATTTTATTTTAATATTACTTTTTTAATTTAAAAATAACATTTGAAGGTAACATATATGTTACTTATTATTAAAATATGATTTTACATGAGTGACATGTTATGTTACCATGTGTTACTTGTGTAACTTATTTTTTAAGTTGTACAACTACATATTGTTACTGTGTTATTCTCATCCTAAACCCTAACACCACCCCTCGGTGCCTCCTTCTACTGTGTTACTTTCATCCATCACGCACTGTAGCTGACCACTATCATTGTTGCCCTTGCACCAGCCATCACCAACCACGAACCATTTTCTTTCAAACACCACCCTTGTCACCACCATAACGCTCGGACTCAAGCTCCAAAACCATAACACCAATCAAACCCAAATCAATAAAAAAATCTAAACATCGTTGTTCACCACTACAATCCATCCCCCACTCAATGCCATTGTCTTACAAATAGAGAGCTCTCTTTTTTTCTCTATATAGCACCACACGAGTACTCTTCTATCCTGTCCAGGCAGACAGAATACAGGTAAAAAATGGTAACATCCTATGTTTGACACTAGTAACGACAAATTAATGTTCGCCAACACAAACCATCCATCATTTGCTGTCATTGTGTTACGAACACGGGTAACACTCGGTAACATATTATGTTATTAACACTGAACATTGTATTATCCATGATAAAGGCTGGAATTTCCATACAACAGTAATGAACTGTGCCAATATAGGTCCATTCCTACGTTCCACTAATCTCAGCAAATGCAGCATTGACACAACACCATAGATGGATTTGGTCAAAATATTAATAATTCTGCAAAATTAGAATCATCGGCAAAAATGGCCAAGAAAATAAGTTTCTGTTTAACCTCTAATGCTATTATATATATTCGAATTAATGCAAATACTTGAGATAGTTACATTTTTTTTTATAACCGTGGATGTCCGAGCCAGCTTGCGCGTACCTCAACTAATTCCACAGGACCCTGAAGTTTACGGTCGGGTACTCACCTCGGTGGCTCCGAGGAGACTCAAACTGGTGATCATTGGGGAGCAAACCCAAAGTCTGACCAATTGAGATAGTTACAATTACAACAACGCTGCCAACTAACAAAATACATAAAGAAAACATTCGTATAAAAACAAGAGAAAGTGTCAAAGATTAGTTTCTAGTTATTACCACCCAACTAATATAGAGTAATGAACTCCGACACTATCAAGTATGTTAGATATATTTAATATATTCATATCTTGAAACATCTCAATTAAGAATTTAAGATAGAGAAGACAAACTTTATTATTTAATATTTGTTTTGTGTGAGGAGAAAATAACGCACAATTTTCATAAATGTGTAGGTCCAAGTCTTTGTTTGGCTAATGTTTATAGACAATTAAATTACTTTTTACATTTATAAATACTTTCCACAGAGGCTTTAATATGTTATTACTTTTAGCTATTCCAATAACATATAAGAATCACCTCGTCTAGATGTCTGTGCTGTTAGAGAGACTTTATTTATTTAGTCCATTTTCGGTATAGATTAAAATCATATTTTCAGTATATTTTTCAAAATATTGATAAAATATGTAGTTGAAAAATTTTGTTCCAATGAAATGTATAATTAACATTAATTGTTGACTTTGACTTGAGATTTTAAGTAGATTTTAATTTACACCAAACAAGTGTCTAATGTTTGTTTTCAAAACATCGGGTCGCGTGAATAACCAACGAATACTAAGGTTTTCATAAACAAGTGCCCACGAACTTAATTTCAATGCTTTTGGTTGTTGTGATACCACATTGAATCAACTCGTTTGAAAACTAGAGAGGACAAACTTGCTTATTGACATGTCTCCAACAATATACATATTCACATTAAAAAATTCGGCCGGCGAAAAACACCTCATCCAGCTTTTGCACTTTGTCAAGTTCACCACTCCATGTCTTCTATTCTTTGCTGTTACCACCCTGCAGAATCATGCAATTTTCACAATCCTCTTTTTCCACACACATTTTCTATCTTTGCTCACCATTAACATTGCTTTAAATCATCAGAAACAAAATTAAAATTCTCCAAGAAACCTCCTATCATGACTTATACTTTGCGAACCTTGTTTTTCATGTTCTTTGCCTTGTTACTCTGTGCCATTACAGCATCATCAGATGATGAATCCTATGCTAGAATCCTCACAAAGTTCAAGAGCTCTCTCTCAAACACAAACATGCTGAATAACTGGATTGAACCAGTGGAAAATTTGTGCAATGGCTACAAACCTATCTGGACAGGTTTAGTTTGTGATAATGGTACATTTACAGGTATAAAGCTTGAAAACATGGGGCTAGAGGGTACAGTTGACGTCGATTCACTCGCAGATTTGCCATTGCTGAGCCTGAGTTTGATGAACAATAACTTTTCGGGGACATTTCCTTATAACGATTTAAAGAAACTTGGGAAGTTGAGAAGTTTGTATTTGGCTAATAACAGATTCAATGGTGATATTCCAGATGATGCTTTTTCAGGGATGAAGTCTATGAGGAAAGTTGTGTTGGGATTTAATGAACATACTGGTAAGATTCCTATGTCTTTACTGGGATTGCCTAGGCTTGTAAATTTGCAGCTTCAAAATAATCATATTGAAGGGAGGATTCCAGACTTTTGGCAGCAGAATTTGATTGTTAATTTTACTCATAATAAGCTTGAAGGTCCAATACCATCTACTCTTAGTAGCCAGGATGCAAGCTCGTTTTCGGGTAAGTCGTGATCAACTTGAATTCTCGTATTTATATCTTCAACAATTTCCATTGTCGTAGGCTAAATTCAATTTTTTTTAAAATCCGTATCTTCAAATTTAAGTCGTTAAAGAGAAAGAGTTCGAAAACTTTTATGTTCTTCAGAATCCAAGAAAAATAAAAATTTTATTTATCAAATAACGGTGAAGTAATTAGTTCATGAAAACTATGCATATTTCACAATCCATTTCATGTCCTGTAAAAACTAAATAAATTCGTAAAATAAGAGGAAACTAATATAAAATAATAGATTTTATATATATATAGAAATTATCTGTAAGTTGCAGGCACGTTGTTTACAAGGCACCTAATGCAAAAGTCAAAAAGTTGACAACCACTTTCTTTAATTATACAATTAACAAAATTAAATTCCCCTTTTCTTCTTTAATTAATTGCTAATGGTTCATGAATCATTTTCTTTTAATAAGATAATTTCTCCTTAATTTTTCTTGTATCTTATTAATCCAGTTTAAGACAAATAAGAACATTTCTTGCCTAACATTGTAATTTACAACCAATATATTCTTCTTTAGTGCATATTAAGGCCATGTTTGAGCCACCTTATTATCTCATTAAAATGAAAAATATGACCGTTATCCATCACATCAATATTTAAATTCAAATTTTCTATCTCTTGTGTGGGCCCCTATAACGGTTATATTTTTCATTCTCATTCTATAATAATTTGGTTCAAACAGGGCCCTGATTTCAATCAATTCATAACAATACTTTTGGAGATAATGCTAAAAGAAAAATCATCGACATTGAAATTATTGGTATTATTCATCTCCCTTTATTGATAATGTTCCCTTAGTATAAAATCTTAAACGTAATCTACTTAGTTTTAGTTAATTGTGTGATGAATGTTATCATATCAAATTTGATTCTTTCAAGTGTCTTATTGAGGATACTACATCAAAAGAATGTGATGTTTCTAAGAAGCCGAAGTAATGATATTTATGTCATAAACACTAAGCCCCCGTTTTGGCAACTTTTTTACTTCATTAAAATGAAAAATGTGTCCGTTATCCATCACATCAACATTTAAATTCAAATTTTCTATCTCTTGTGTGGGCCACAATAACGGCTATATTTTTCATTCTCATTCTACAATAATTTGACTCAAACAGGAGCTTAATTTCCTTGTTTGGAATGTTGGAAGTGTTTCAACATGGTACAGTAAGCAAATTTGCCTGAGTTTAAATATCCGACGACATCTTAAGACGAGAAAAACGACCTGTTGAGGACAAAATTTGACCTGATTCTAATAACTTAAGTTTGAGATGAGGTGGTTGTGGCAAGTATTTTTCTCCCTCCTCTTTTTGTCTAATAATATTTCGTATCGGACTAGGAAATATCAACCTATGTGGTAAGCCATTGGAGCCATGCAAACCAAAGAAGTCTATACCAAAAATTGCCTTCATTATAGCAGCAGTGGTGGGAGTTGCATTAGCAGTCATTATAATAGCTTTTCTTATATGCTGGCGACGCGAAAGGCCGCTAAAATACGAGAAATCGATCGATAATCACCATGCCGAAGAGGCAACTCACAAGGATACTGAAAACTACGAGAATAATTTTGAACAGGGAAAGCTATACTTTGTGAGGAATGATAGGGAAAGGTTTGAATTGGAAAACCTACTTAGGGCTCCTGCAGAAGTATTGGGGAGCGGAGGTTTTGGCTCTTCTTATAAGGCTGAGCTTTTCAGTGGCCAACCATTGGTTGTGAGAAGGTTCCAACAAATGAACAATGTGGGAAAAGAAGAGTTCTCTGAACACATGAGAAGGCTAGGAAGGTTATCCCACCCTAATCTGCTGCCTCTCATGGCTTTCTACTATGGAAAAGAAGAAAAGCTTTTGATCACTGATTTCGTTGAATATGGTAGCTTGGCAAGTCACCTCCATGGTAAGTTATCTATCAAAGAGTATTTGGTACATAGTACTCGATAACACTAAACATTACACGATGAACAAGATTTTAAGTTCTTTTCGTTCTTTAATCATGTCAAGTGTTGTCCAAATCAACATACCAAATATGTCAAAAGTGAAATTACTAGTTGATCCTAGATATAGTATTTCGGTATTGGGGTTTTGGGGGAGGGGTGTAAATTTTCTATATTCCTTATTGACTCGTGACTTAGGCACATTTAAATTTCCTGAATAGGCAAACGAAGTCCTAACCAACCAGGTCTTGACTGGGCAACACGTTTAAAAATCATCAAAGGTGTAGCAAGGGGATTGGCCTACCTATACAAGGAGCTGCCAAGCTTAGGTCTACCACATGGCCATCTCAAGTCATCCAACGTTCTCCTAGACAGCACATTTGAACCAGTACTATCTGATTATGCACTAACACCGGTGATCAACAAGGAGCATGCTCAGCGGTTCATGGTAGCCTACAAGTCACCTGAATCCACACAAAGTGACCTTGTAACAAGGAAGACAGATGTGTGGAGCCTTGGGATTCTGATACTCGAGTTGCTCACAGGACGATTCCCAGCTAACTATCTGAAACAGGGTAGAGGACCAAATGCAGATTTGGCAACCTGGGTTAATTCTGTTGTAAGAGAAGAGTGGACGGGTGAGGTATTTGATAAGGACATGAATTTAGGAAGGCACGGGGAAGGTCAAATGCTCAGGCTTCTGAAGATTGGAATGTGCTGCTGTGAATGGAATGTGGACAGAAGGTGGGATTTGAAGGAGGCTATTGAGAAAATTGAAGAATTGAAGGAAAGGGACAGTGACGATGATTATTCTTCCTATGCAAGTGAAGGAGAAATGTATTCCTCAAGAGCACCAACCAATGATGGCTTCTCATTTTCTAATGCATGAAATTTCTGAAACTGGGAATAATTTCAACTTTTCTCTATCTTCATGGTCTCTACATGTAGATAAGTAGATTTGCAGTAGATTTATGCAATTAGTTTTACAAGGCTTATTCATTTTATATATTTTCGAAAGACAGTGTATGTTTTATGCTTATGTTGGATCAAATCCTCTTACGCTATTTCCTATTAATTTCTGTAATAATACTTAGCAAAGTAGATTTAATAATTTCATCAATAACAGACAAAGAAATTTACAAAATAAACAACTTCTGAATAAAGTCGAGCCAAATACAACTGGCTTGCAATTTGAAGCAAATTTTTTTTTTTTTCAATTGATTTATATAAATCACATACAATGAATAAATCAATCGGTATGGTATTATAGTACATAAATAATATAAGGAAAGGTTGTACTTTTAGGAAAAATTTGAAGTGCAGGTCTTTGTATCTGTACAAGCATGCTCATCAGTAGTTCATTCTGATGTAACTGAAATTACTTTTCAGAGGGCATTAGCAACTTGGAAGTGGCAGGAAAGAAAAACTTTCTGTACATACCTATAACTACTTTTCGGTCATCTGTGCTTTTGACTTGTTTTCAGCTCCCCATGCTTGATCGTGCAGAAGGTGGATAACTAAAGTCCTGCAATTGTTCACAAAAATAATATCAAACTTAATGTAATTGACTGTGGGAATCAAAATACTCAAGTGAATTCTAATTTGAATTTCTCCGAGTTTCATCCTGTTCAAAGGATGCGGCACTTCAGGAAGTGTAGTGTGTAGAATAATAAAAAAAAACAGGTTTCAAGACAATGTGCATAAACTTACTTTAGACACAGAAACTTGACTATGGCTGGCCAAGGGAGCTGCACTGAATGGCATTGAGTTGGACTCATTATCTTCTGCAAGCTCTCTCAGTTTGTTCAGTTCTGGCAGGACAACATTAACAAGATCTGGTCTGTCTTTCCTTCTTAATTCAGAACACTTGAGTGCTAATTTAGCAAATCTTAGGGCCTCTTCAAAGGGCCAATCAGGTACAGCTGGATCCAGCATATCACGGAAGGTTCCTTTCTCAATAGCTCTTTCAACGTGATGAGTCAGACCCATTGGTGGCTTCCCCGTAAGAAGCTGCAAGAATATGATTCCCAGGGAGTATATATCAGATTTTACACCAAGCATTCCCGTTTGCTGATACTCTGGATCTATGTAGCAGAAAGTTCCAGCAGTGGATGTCATCCGATATTGAGTGACACTATCTGACACAGATGGAGGGACAAGCCTGGCCAAGCCAACATCACTAATCTTACTTACATAGTTACGATCAAGCAGGATATTGGCAGGTTTCAGATCCCGATGTACAAGGGGCTCCGGCTTGGTCTGATGGAGGAAAAGCAGGCCAGTGCCAATTTCAGCTGCAATTCGGAACCTGTGCTGCCAAGACAGAGGTGGGGTGTTTCCGCGTTGGAATAAGCGGTCTTCTAAGCTTCCATGGGACATGAATTCATATACTAAGCAACCATACTCAGGGCAGGCTCCTAGAAGAAGGACCATATGGGGGTGCCGTATGCAACTTAATATTTCAACCTGGACAAATGAAGATTTAACGATACAAACAAATATATCTAATGCTTCACGAAGGTGGAAATTTGTACACAAATGGAATACAAGAGATGGTAGAAGAGGAATAAAATGATGCCTGCAGAGCAACATCTTCAAAATAAGGAGGATCAAGAGAATAAAAATCTAATACAGCTTGGTACCTAAATTAGTTTTCAATTGGACATTGTGGGAAGATTCTTTCCAGTACTTGCTTTAACTAATAAGTTGGTAATAGAATATGATAATTTTATCAATGCACTAAGATTAAAGTCAACATGAATCGCTCAAAATACCTTTATCTTTTCTATTTCGACAGTATAATCTTCAACTGGTTTTGACAATTCTCCCCATTAGCAAAATAGCAAAACATATAAACAAATTGCTCATACTCACACATAATTTTTTGTGTGCTAATCTATGGCCTTGGTTTTTAATATTTCCAATTTTAGATTGTCAAATCTTTGTTAGCAGACTGCTACCACTCTGACCTACAGGGTCATAGGTGTAACTATGTGTGTGAATTTATCAACCAAGGTTTTGTGCAGTTCATACGGAATGGACCGCATTTTTATATATGCAAAATATGAATAATTTGACAAAAAATGTTGTCTCACTCTTAAAACATGATACCCTCTCATCTTCATTCAACAAGCCAGTTTCTCACTGGGAAATTTACTAACCATGTATTTGTTTCTCTTTTGCTAATGTACTGTACACCATGTTTATTATGTCAAAACTTATATTCATTGCATTCACATACCTCCTGCTGAAACTGTGATCTTCCATGAGTAGCGTCAGGGCGAAGGACTTTAACTGCTACGGGGGTATGGTCCAGATGGCACTTGTATACCGGTCCATAACCTCCTTCACCAATCTTTCGAGATTTTGAAAAATATTCTGTTGCAGCTTCAATCTCCTCAATTGAGTATCTCCTGTACCTGAAATCTGATTGTCCCAGAGAGATTAGTACCTTACCCTTCTCTTCTGATTCTTTTAGTACTTTCATTTCTGCATTGATTCTCTTTTGCGACTCCAGCTCCGCTATTCTTTGAGATGCTTCAGCATGCTCAAGGGCTGCCCTGGACTTGGCTGTTTCCTTTTCTGCAAGTGCCACTGCAGCTTCTTCAGCTAACCTAGCCTCTTGTATCCTCCGTTGCTCTTCTATTTTCCACCGCTGGAGTTCTTTTGCCTACAATATATTATATGCGTTAGCACGCACAAAGTAAATTAAATTCCTGAGCAAAAGAAGGTTTATTTTCTTATACCTTTTCTTTTGCTGAGAGAGCCTCCTTGCAGGCAGTACTATACATATCCATTGTTTGCTTGAGCTCCAGCTTTAACCTTCTCATCTCTGCTTCCGCTTCCTCCTGTAAGTCATGGCATTGAAACAAATTAAGATTCTAATTTTTCTTCATTTCTATACTGCTAGAAGTGCATGACTATTCAAGTATAGGAACTCAAATGACAAATAATTTTCTATATCGTGAACGATCCATATAAAAGGAATTTACAGCGAAGTTTTACCAAAATAAGTTATGTCACCAATCATCCCATGATGTTATCATGAAAGTTTTACATCATAATGCATGTTTTTAATTATTTTAAAAACATATGTTTATGCTTATTTGTTAATTATCTGCAAACAAAACAAGTTGATCAATCGTATCTAAAAAACCATATAAGTTCATTTAAGGGATAACTTATATTTCATAACTTTACTTTAAACAACATAAGGAAATTTTCACCAATGTCTTTTTAATTAAAAGCTATACTAAGTTTAATATCGTCTTATAATAGTTACAGATTTAGTAAACACCAAAGGTTAAATGCAAAACATGAACTCTTTTTTACAGATTAAGGGAAAATTTTGAAAAACCTCAGAGGGCAATCACAACATCCAAAAATTTGGTAAATTAGTAAATACTTCCCTGTCACCCAATTTACACCAATGTATTTTTAACTTATAAGTTAAAAAGTTTACTTAAACAACATAAAGAAATTTACACCAATGTCTTTTTAACTAAAAGCTATACTAAGTTTAAATATCGTCAGATAATAGTTAAAGAATTAAACACGAAAGGATAAATGGAAAACATGTACTCTTTTTAACTAATGAAGGGAATCTATTATAGAACACAAAAAAATATAAGAGAAAATAAATACATATAAAAATAAATAAATATACATATGTATATATGTGTGTGCATGTGCTCTATATATAAAATTTTGAAAAACCTCAGAGGGCAATCACAACATCCAAAAATTTGGTAAATTAGTAAATTCTTCCGTCGCCCCAATTTGAAGCTATTTAATTGATACTAGCTTCAATTCATTACAGTTGAGGCATAATCAAGCAATAAATAAAAGTAATAAAACTATCTTGCTTGCAAACAGATAAATGATGTTAACTTTTGAATAAAAATAACTAAAATTCACTTGAAGGTGGAAAACGCGAGCTGGAAAATGTATTATGTAACCTACATTAGCAGATACAATCAGTCTTTGCAGAAAAAGATGTGTTATAATGTAAACAAGCTGATCTCACCATTGCCTGTGCTCCAAATTTATCGTTCTCAGGTGTGGCAGATGAGAATTCTGGTGGGGTTACTGTGCCTACCGATTTGCGCCCAAGTTGCCATGAGTCTAACCCTTGGTTATCTATGTCTGAGAAGCCTGAAAGCCGAGGAGGGGTTAGACTGTTATCTAAGCTGTCAGCAAATGATGGTAACATATCAATGCTTTGCCGTCCAGAACTGACAAAGGATATGTCTGTATCAGGCACTGAGAGTTCATATGGTTTGCCATTTGGGGCCTTCCTGTGAGTAAACGGTGACCTGTTGCAGAGTAATAACACTTAAAGTTAGCATTTTGGGATGGATAAAGGTGCCACGTCATGCTAATGCAAAAATTAACTGTTAGTTGTATACTTTTAACTGTGGAATAGAAAATTGCAGAAGGCATTGTTGTGGAGAGATGCATCCCAACTTTTTACTACATTCTCTATACATAACAGAGAGTATGCTTGGAACATAGCTAATATATGTCATGCTTTGAGCAACTAAACATGACATACTTGATAAAGTTTGCCTCATTTTGCGTGGAATGTGGAGATGGTTCAGATCCTGGCCTTGAAGACCCTGAAATAGAACCTGCATATAATAATAATAATTCAGAATCAAACTTACGACTAGAGAAAATAGAAAAAAAAAACAGATAGGATTATATTCTGGAAAATAACTGACTTCGGGAATTATTGCTGGAGGGTAATGATGCCTCAGATGCAATAGATTTGCTGCAGGTCTGAAGCATTATCTGGTTACGAAGTGGAGTGAGGATGGATGGCGCTAGACGGGAAGCAGCTCGTGTTGTTGAAATCTTTCCTTTGTGGATGATATACACAGTACAATAATCGGGAACTCCTTTTAATACAGTTCCAGGAATGTCTTTGGCTTTAAATCTGATGTGCACATAGGCTACTTAAATTAGACTTTTACAATCTGCTCTTGTATTCTAGTAGATGCACGAAAAGGTATATTATGTTGGTTTCGATTAATCATACAAGACCATGAATCTAAAACCTTTGTTTGGACATAAAATTGAATGCCATATTGTGCAGCTTTAAAGTGCTATGACTATGCGGAATTTTTCATGTATAAACAATTTAGTTAGGTAGCATTTTAGCACCTTAACTCATATATACTAGTATATAGTATAAGAACATACTTTTAATTCTGACACACAACGTCAGAAGTGTGTCCTGTACCTGTTCAACAGTCTACTTACATCCACTGGACTGATGGCCCGACTATCCTACAACTCAAAGGGTTAATTTCCTTCACGGCCAAGGGTCACAATAATTCAATTTGTGTCAATTGGTCAATAAACTTTATCTTGCATCAATTTAGGCCACTTCGTTCAATTCTGTCTCTTTGTTCAACGCCAGACATTGACGTGGCTGTTACATAGAAATGGCAATCCAACGTGTCTGTCAAAAAATGTCATGGAAGTGATATAATTGAAAAACTCGTTTTACATATTAGACTAGTGACTGAATAACCCAACCCATAGTTTTTTCGATTGTATCACTTCTTTCACGTCATTTTTTGACGGCCCTGTGAGTGTATGATGTTAGACAATGTTATGGAATTGAAAGTGTAATAATCCATTTGACACAAATTTATCGTACAGTGATCCTATCGATACCAAATTGAAGTATAATGAAGTGACCACGAATGGAATTAACCCCAATTCAATTAGGGTAAAGAATATGGGGGCTGGGGGGTCATCGGACTTTCACTGAAATTGTGCTTGGATCACTCAACTTCAATTTATCACAATTGAATCACTGAACTTGAGATTTTATTTCTAAAACGTCCTAGCCGATTACTTTAACTAACGGAAATTCTGAACCAATGGTCTGGTTGGCAACATTCTGCTGGTATGGACATACATCTACAGATATGTGGAACAGTTACTCTGATGAAGATACTAACGTAAAGCTCATATTTTTATTCCGGTTTTTTTTATCTATATTATGCACGTACACAAGATAAACTTTTTTTTTTGGATTTCTTTTTTAAGGCTTTTTGATGCAGGACGTGACAGAAGAGAAATTTAGAGAAGAAAAGAAGAAAGGGGGAAAATCCATAGTAGTAATTCCTTAATGATAAAATTTGAAACAAAAATGAAAAACCCAAGTCCCCTTTTATATAATACAGTCTTTAATCTACAGAAACTTCCAACAGATAACAATGAAGAATAAAAAAAACTCCTAACTAAATGGTATGGCCAATTTGGCGGGATTGTTTTGTTGAGGAACTGAAGAAGATAATTTGACTAGTCACTAGCTCGAAAATATTAATTTTGAGTGGTTCTTCTTAGGAAAACCAGAAAACAAATACTAGTGACATGTCTGAAAGACAGGTAAAATCCTATTGATGAAAAATGGTTCATGCGGCAGATGATGGTCAGGTGTTTTCTCCCCCGGCTTCTTTTTGTACTCATCAATATCAAACTTGTTATCTCGTGAACACTTGGTCCTCAATTATGCAAATCAATCACTTAATTATCAGTATCCACATATGCAACAGTAAAAAATATGTGTACTTGTTAGTTTTCTAGTCGAACTTTTCAGGGAAACATTTCTTCCAAATACTGACGAGGTATTGAAAGAAATATTGGGATAACTACTTTTACTGTTGAAGCCAGAGGAACTCTCACGTAGGAACGCATACCTGAAGATACTGCCTTTTGCCGCTGCACCAAGAACCAATACATCTATTGCTGACTGTTTTACAAATTCACATAATGCTCTAGCTACATCTGCGTCATCTAGCACGACATCGCAGCATTGTATCTGACAATTGAATATAAGAGAGTTAGAATGTGTACAATGAGGTACTAACTATTAAATGCTTCCATGCTACAGCTTTTCCATAAATAATGAGAAGATTACGGGATGTTCCTATAGTAGTCTGAAAGGAAACAACTGTATTTCTCTACTGAATACAATATGAACAAACATGTTTGGATTCTGAATACCCACGTCCTTGCGTGTACAAAAAACACGGAAAGGAAGGAACAGTTCCTTCAGTTGTGCATCAGAATCTGCATTAGTTGATCCATTTTGACCACTATCAGAAATCATTGTGTAGTTAGGCCCTGTGCAATAAAAGATATGGAATCAACTGTAAGGACCGTGAGAACGTGTGCAACATTCAAGAAAATGATAACACAAGAAATAAATTATTTAGGACCAAGACACAGAAGATTTGCATTTTCAATCGCTAAAGTATCAGGGTCGTTAAAGGAAACAGGTTTGGACTGGTCATATGAACGAAAATATATCACAATTACTATGAGATAGAATCTGTAACAACCAATTAACAATATAATTGAAGTACTTCAAACTAGCTTAACTATGGACAAAGCAAGCAGTATTTTCAATAATAACGGTACAGGGCATGTAGAAGAATAAAATGCATATAACTACAGGAAAGATATGGAAATTATTTCACACCTATGTGTGTTGTTTTTCATTTCCATGTACCAGTTTGATGGAAACTTTTGAGGAAGGAAACTAATTGATCTTTCGCATAACCGTTTCAAGTTGTTTTACATGACATATAATATAGACAGAGAAGACCGTGACTTACTGTGGCGATTTGCTAGTGAAAAACCAACACCCTTTCTCGAAGTACTAATTCATTTATGTGCAATAGTTTTCAAGTCGAAGAGATATGATCTTGCAGAAATTCTGAACATAGGTCCTTTCGGTATCTTCTGCCGCTCTAATACTTCTTATAACTACACCTGTTACACCCTAGAATGACATGGTGACATAGTGAAGGGACATATGTCTGATGTTATAAGTCTAGTCATCACATGGAGCAGCTTCCCTACAACAATAAGCACATTTCATAGCCTAGTAAAGCACAAGCAACCCTCATAAGCCTTGGAGCCAAAAACTAGAGAATCACCTCTCACGATTCTGCTAACCAATACGCAAAAGCAACTTCCATTAAAAAGTATATTTGTGAGACTGGAAAAACCAAGGAAAGTATATGAAGACAAAGCATCATTACAATTTTCGGAATGTTCAGATTTAAGTCTCGGCCAAAGCTGACACAACACTACCTAGTACCTATGATTGGCCAGCCGATTTTGAGTCTCAAACAGCTTGAATAACAGGAAAGAACAACTCAGATCTGAGAAGGGGTGACTGTTATACCAAACTATAACTCAGGCCACATGGCTAGACTAAGGCACTCCTAGGTCTGACCTGGCATTGGAAAAAGTCAACCTGTAGACAAAAATATGGGCTCCGGGGCAAAAAGGCGTGCTCAGGTCCGCACAGAACAGAGCAGCACTAGCTGCTGAAACTAGATAACTCCCTATCAATGGAACAGCAGCTTGGCACACAAAATGTGACATGCTGAAAAAGATCCCACGAGAATACCTTCGGCAGCACAAGTTCCCAAGGCGGCTACTGGCATGATCATTAGGAGACATGACTGGCCAACCAATAAAATGGAGACTTTGTCTCTCCATTAATGCCACTCAACAAAAGCAATTGACTGTCAGTTACGGAAGTTGAAACACGAGGCTCCCCTCTCACATGGATTCCATCCATTTAAACAGGGTAATTATTCCCAAAAAATGCATTTTAATGTTTTCACTCCCCAAAAGGAATGAAAAGAAAAACGCTCTTCTAGTGTGTCCTGAATAAAAACTAGTATCCTCTTCGTCTATTACTATTTTCTTCTTTCAAACAGATGTCTAACTTGACCAGAAGAGTGGAATTGGCCACCACCACCCCTCCAGTGGATGCTATGCTAATTGGCATCTATTTTACAGAGTATTCAATAAGGAGAAGGTGGCGAAAAACCACCAACCAACCAGGCCAATCACTTTTGCCCCACCTGAAGTTGACGTGGCTCTATCGACAAAATTCTGTTGTCAACATACTTCATAATCTTGTGTTACCTTCAAAAGTTCTTAACTCTTGTGCAATGTTTCTCTCTCTAAACTTGAAGAAGAATTTTGCTCCATTCCTTAAAATCTTCTCTTTGACATCCCTTTTTTCTTTGGAGCCGATAAGAATATGGCTCTCCTGCCATTTCTATTCTTTGTTTTAGTTATTGGTTTACCAAAAGGAGTTTCACTTGACCTCTACAAAGTGTAACATACATTCTACCTGTATCTATTTATTATGTCAAACTTTCTGTTTTTTCCCTTGTCTGAGAACCTCCATAAGAATGTGGGAGTATTGGGCATTTAAAACAAAAGGACACGCCTCTACATGTAAAAATTTTGATGAAGAAGCTAAACTAAGAGCATATCACTTCTATTTCATCCTTAAATTTCAATATTACCTTACAAACCACATATCGCCTATCAAAATGATTAATTGAATTGAATCTTTCACATGAATGTCTAAGAAACAACTGTTTTCAAAATGCATCAGTAATTGGAGCAAGCTGGCCTAATGTCCAGAGTCATGTAAAAGAAATGAGTATGAAGTCCCAAACTTTTTATGTAGATAATAATTACAAAATCAATAATTTATTTATGCAAATATTTATGCATACTTAGAGACAGGCTCGCGCGCGCACAGAGAGAGAGAGAGAGAGAGAGAGAGAGAGTTACTAGGGATAGACGTAGATGGCAATGTAGACAAGGATGTTTGCTTAACTCTAACATGGACCAAAACAACGGTGTGGCCTTTGCCTAGAAGATTATCAACAGTCCATTTCAAAGCACTTTGGCTTCCTTTATCCCTGTCTATTGCCACCGCCACCAACCTAGGCATCGGAGTCATCCTTTCTCCGGGATTCCCCATGGGATGCATCATCATATTTGTTTGAATCACCCTCAAATTTAAACCCCAAGCAACAAAGTACGACAAATCGCTTATCTCATCTCATAAAAAGAGATCCACCTCTGCTATTGTTTCAACTCATTCTCATAAGATAAAAATTCTAGAGGATTTGTAATCAAGATTTCCCCTTTTTTTACAGAAGTCTGTTCGTTTTACGAATCGATGTTTCAATTTCTTCTTCACAGAAACATGAAAAATGAAATTCAATTTCTTGGACGATGTAGATTTGGTTCGTACCATACAAAAATCTCCCATTTCTCTCCAATTGTTTCCTCTCTGAAGCGTAAGAGGAGCTCCGGTTTTGGCGGGGAACGGTTGCTTAACCACTATTTTCTTTTGATAATTACACTTTCACACCTATAACTTTATATTCTACAGTCCCTGTAGTTTGAAAATGTTCAAAGACTCCCATTGGACTTTAATTTGACTATCGTTAAAATCTCGGTACTAAACTTTAAGGGCGTGTTCGGTAGAAATTAAAATCGGATTAAGGGCATGTCTAGGCGCGATTCAAGCCTACTTTTAAGCAAAAATATGACCGTTTGATACAGTGAACGGGCCCCACGTCTGGAAAGAATTTTGCAAAAAAAAAGGGACAACAACTGGCAGCCGTCTTTCACCTAGTATTCGAAATGTCAAAAATATCCTTTCTAATGTAGTGAAAGTTAAAAATCTGGGGACACAAAGGTCTTTTCACAGAAATTTCTAATTCAATTGACTGTTGCAGTCAATTAATGTTGCCAGTTTTGTCTTTTTTTTTGCCAATTTCTATTCAACTGTGGGGTCCATTCACTGTGTAAAACGGTCAAATTTTTAATAAAAATTGGGTTGGAATCACGCCCAGACACGCCCTAAAATTGAAAAATTGGCCGTTATTGTTTATTTTTATTAGACGAGTAGGACTAAATAAAGGCTATATTTTCAATTTTAATTGAATTTTAAGCTTAGCCAAACATGCTCAAAGAGTCTCAATTTAATAATTGAATTTCAATTTAGGCCAAAAATGGAAATTATTATACAACATTATAAAGTTTACGTTCATATGCTCGAGAAGACGATTGACCCAACATATAATATGTAAAATGTGAAATTTTTACAGACATATAAGTCAAATCATAAGAGAAGAAAATATGTTTACGTAAGTGCAAAAATAAGCAATGTCAAGCTAAATGAAAATAATATCATACACAATATTTTCCCCCTTTTTCGAAAATGAGAAATTGAGAGAGTGAACATCGAATTTACTTGACGTGGAAGCTACATGAGATTACCAAGGACGTATCTCGGACATGCTGCTTACAGCAGCACCCATAAGGCCATAACTCCATTGGATTCAGAGCTTTGAGTTGAGATTTTATCTTTTGAACATAAAGAGTATCTCCTCTAGTCCAGTTCCATTTAAAATCATTTTTGAGTTTCTTTTGGAGCCGTGTTCTCATTTTTGCTAAATCTTTGATAAAAGATTCTGCATAAGTGAGACCTCCAAGAAATCTCATTAACCGCTTTTGATCCTGAATTTCATTTGGAATTCTTGGATATGTACAAGTATATGGGGTTTTGAGAACATTGGGGAGCAATTTTAAAATCTTTTGACTGCCAAGATCAAAATGAAAAATTATGTGGTTAAATGAAAAGAATTATCACATAAGTGAAAAGGAAATTTTAGCCATGAAAAAGGCAATTACAAAATTTAGACTGTATATCATTTCTGATAAATTTCCGGTTAGAACTAATTATAGTACTTGTAATTCATTTTTGAAGAACCAAGTACATCCAGATTACAAGCAAAGAAGACTTGTCAGATGGCAAATGTGGTTTAGCTATTATGATTTTGACATTGAAATTATTAAAGAGAAAAATAATTATTTAGCAGATGCACTAACCAAAGAATTTACTTTTGCAGGTCAAAATGACAGACATTGAAGATCAAATTTTTGATCTAGAACTACAGATTGAGATAGAAGAAATGGAAATCTCAACAAGACAACAGAAAATACAGATTTTGAACAAAAAGTTAGCTAGAATTCTAAAACAAAAAGCAGCATTAACTTTTGTTCAAAAGGGGGAGGATGATACCTCTGAAACCTAGACACAAGGATTCGAAATAGCAAGACTACTGGAGATATAAACATAGCCCTGAGGAAGACACTCAAAACAGAAGAGCATAGTCAAGCTCAGTATTCTCAAGAAAAATGGGCATTCAAAACCCACAAAAATTAGAAGAGCATAGTCAAGCTCGGTGTTCATATGCAACTGTTGAATAGGTTAAAAGATGTCATCTATGTGGCTCTTCGAACTTCGTGAAAATAAATTCAACTCACAATATGGATGTCTACCATCTAAAAAACATGAAAAGAAAAGAAAAACCTTTAAAAAGAAAAGGTATATTTTCAAAAAAATATAAAAAACCTTACAAACAAAAATTATTTAGAAAAAGAAAATTTTTCAAAAAATTCCAGAGGAGAAGGAAAGAAAAAACTTGGGACAAGAAGAAATTTTGTCCACAAAAGAGATACCTCTGAAACCTAAATAGAAGGATTCGAAAGTAGCAAGACTACTAGAGATAAAAACATAGTCATGAGGAAGACACTCAAAACAGAAGAGCATAGTCGAGCTCAATGTTCTCAAGAACAAATGGGTCTTCAAAACCCACAAAAATCAGAAGAGCAAAGTTAAGCTCAGTGTTCTCAAGAACACATGGGTATTCGAAACCTACAAAAAGATCTAAAAGCTCAAGGGCCAGAAACCCAAGTACAGACATAAGTGCATATTAAGCCTCGATGTTTGCAAGAACGAAAGGGTATTCAAAGCCCAAAAGAAGGACTGAAAGTCCAAGAAAATATTGAGAATCCACCACTTGTTGGTGTTAATACATCTCTTGCAGGTACAAAATTCTATGTAATCTTTGACGGACCAACAAAAGGATTTTACACCAATTGGGCACAAGTTGAACCACTTGTAAAAAATAATCCCTATAAACACAAAAGTTACAAATCATATACAGAAGCCCAAAATGCCTTTTCTGAATACCATGAATCCAAAGGCACTAGCCCAGTCCCTTACAAATAACTTTTTGAACTCGATAATATCAATTTGAGATCAAATTACTGTCAAGATATTAGATATCTCAGACCAAGATTACTAGCTTATCTTTTCAGACCTCCACCTAGTGAAAACCAAAGGATTAGATTGATATCTTACAAAGTTGCAGCCCAATCTACTCCAGATACAGAACCCATCCCTGATAGGTTTAAGAAAATTGGAAAAGTTCCAAAACTCAAGAGAGTACATTCTTTACAGGAATTAGGATGTAAGATTTCCTTCAATTAGAAGAAGAAGCACAAATAGTAGGAGCTTCAGCACCTGAGAAGAGCTACTACAAAACAATTGAAAAGAAATTTGGACAGTTCATTTTCTTTGAAGGAGCTGATCCTACAATGGTTCAAACAACATTTCATTGTGGATTGATCAAGATGATAATTCCTAGCAAAAGCTTGGATGAAGTCAAGTTAATTGATAACAGTTTATTTAAGACCTTAAAGGACTTTAGTAAATATGTTATTAAAGACCAAGAGGTGCAGATGATCCTCAAAATCAATAATTTCAATGTTAAAATCATAATGGCTAAACCACATTTACCATCTAACAAGTCTTCCTTGCTTGTAATTTGGATGTACCTGGTTCTTCAAAAATGAAATATAAGTACTAGAATCAGTTCTAATAAGAAATTTATCAGAAATGATAGACATACTAAATTTTGTAATTGCCTTTTTCATGGCTAAAGTTTCTTTTTCATTTATCTAATAATTCTTTTCTGCTCATGAAAAAGTTCCTGAAGCATAACCACATAATTTTTCATTTTGATCTTGGTAGTCCAAAGATTTTAAAATTGCTCCTCAATGTTCTTGAGAGGCGTTTGTTTCGATAATCATTTTATCACCTATCTTGGGATGATATAATGATGGTAAGGTCTTGATTTTAGATTTTATCTTCTGAAGATAAAGAGTATCTCCTCTAGTCCAGTTCCATTTAAAATCCTTTTTAAGTTTCTTTTGGAGTGGTGTTCTCATTTTTGCTAAATCTTTTATAAAAGATTCTGCATAAGTGAGACATCCAAGAAATCTCATCGACTGCTTTTGATCCTGAACCAATTTGGGTGGTTTGATACCAATTTGGGTGGTTTGATACCAATTTGGGTGGAGGTGAGTGAGGTGAGTGCGGAATGTAAATAATTATAAAAAACTTAAATGTTTTGGTTAGACTGAGGATTCCAATGGGAATACATGTATCAAACAGATTAGAAGTCTTGCAAAAATTAAACATTCTTATTGTATGAAGAGATTGGATGGTCCTTCTTACGCTTATGTCTGATATACTTTTCTTAGGTAGATCTCTTTGACTTGTTTCTCTAACGGCTCCCTGCTTAACGGTACTCCTTTGTCCCTTGATCTGTATAGATCCGTACATGAATTTGTATAAAAGAGAAGAAGTTTTTGAAGGCATGATTAAAACATGGAGTTTTATTCAAAAGAAGGTTTAAGAGCAAGGTCTCTTAAACTTACAAGTACTGATCTAGTATGGATTCACTGTCTTTGAGGGTTTAGTATCACGCTTGCCAATGGTGCAAAAATACAGAAGAAGCAGAGAAATCAAAGGAAATCTCAAAAATAGAAAAAGATGGGCCTAGCAGTAGCGACATTAGCAAATCAGAATGAAAAGAGAGCATCTACCAACAGTGTACCTTATCACTTCTTTTGCTTTTACAAAAGAAAAAGATGGGCCGATCAAATGAAAGAGGAATTGGCCGACAGTTTGTCGTATCACTTCATCACTACTTTTGCTTTTGCAAAAGAAAAACTGTTGATACTGACAACTTACCCAATCAGATAAGGGGAAATCTTTCGAAATGGCTATAAAAAGATACAAGGAGATGAGGAGAAAAATTTTAGAGAATTTTTTTT